TGGTGTATATGTGGGGAAGGAAAAGTCCAGATTCTTGTAAGATGAAGCATAGAGATGGTAAAGGACGCACACGGCAGTCAAGAACAAGAAATAAGGAAGTGTAGACGAAGGAGCGAAAAGGAGAATCTGAAAGAGATGTGACTTAGCTTTACCGTCAGGTAAAACTGCGAACGAAAAATACGCGGATGAACAACATCGAAGAATGGCTGAACTACCGCTCAGATATCTGACGTTATACAACATAGAAGATTTGAAGAGGAGAGCCATTCACGCCTCATGGTAGCATTGGAAAAGAAGAATTATCCTCATATATGTTTGGTTAAAAATTTTGGGTAAATCCCTCCATCTCTCTCTCTCCTCTTTGTAGTATCAGACCCATTTCTAGAGCAAATTGCATCAAAAATTAAAAGCAGAAAATACCTTCGAAGAAAAAGGCTTCAAACGACCAGAATTGACGAAGTGATGACATGAATCAATATCAGATCATATCCTCACGTCAAAAGAATGATAAGAATTTATGCAAAAATAACGAGTCGAATCGAAGGTTTGTTCCTTATCACGGTAATGATGCTGATGATATTTTATATTCAACTCATCAACTAAGACAACCAAATAACTGAAATGTTTGTTTACTGATTTATATTTCAAGGTTTCCTTTATGCTTACCATGCAAATATGTAATATATGTAAAATAGTGCGGTCAAATGAGTGTCTTTAACCTCTGCAGAGAGGTGATTGAAGTGTGTCAGTACTAGAGATGAAGTGCCAGTACTGTAAATGTTTGCAGAGAGAAATGGGATGGAGCAGCCAGGTTGGGTAAAAATGTCGGTGGTGGGATAATTTTTTAGCAATTATTGGCATATTATCTTGTCATAATCCCAGCTGCTGTAATAAGACCAACCTCCAGAAATTAATACTGTGGTACCACCATCGAATCCTAGTTAGAAATTAACGACAACGACTGAAAACATTCTGCAAAAAAAAGTTTCTTGTTATTAAAAACTTTTATTTAACTTATTTCACTGCCTTTATTTTGTTCTGTCTGTCTATCTGTTTACACAAATCTTGTAATAAAACTTTAATTAACTTACAGATCACCTATAAAGTATGAAATTTGTTTCACGTATTCACACCTGATGACAATGCAATTTGACAAAGTTTCAGACTTCTGGGTGGTTGGGAATTACCTAATTTATTACATTTCCTTTTAAATATTGTAATCGATTTTTAAAAATACTTATAGAGAACCTAGAAGCCTGAATTTTGGTACAATTGCTCACACCTGATGATACTGCAAGTTGACAAAATATCAGACTGCTGAGTTGTCTCGGCAATAGACAAATTTTAATTTATATATTTAATATCAAATTCTGTGTGTTGAATTTTAATATATTTAAAAACCACATAGAATTCAGAAAATTTGTAAACTTGCTCAAAAAAGTTAATAATGCAAGTTGACAAAATTTCAGATTTCTGAGCAGTCGGGGTTGTCGGTAATGGACGTAGAAGTCTGGTGTTTGTAATAGACTAGTTCAACTCCGCCTTCCCTTGTCCCCTTTATATACAAACATGGCCACATTCGTCCAATGAGAAGGCGTGAGAGATTGGTTCACTAACAACCGAAAACAACATTCTTCCCGCTAAAAAATGATCAGAAAAAGTGCAAATGTTTGTCAAAATAATTTGACAGATTAATTGATCATTAGACAATGGTCTTCTAGTACTAAAGACTAGTTCAATCCAACTGACATTGAAAGTTTACAAGACTTCTGACTTCTAGGTGGCCGCGAGGGTCGGGAATAGAATAGAATTTGCATATACAAAAAGGAGAAAATAAGCGCAACCGTTTGTGGCGTAATGGATGGCTGGCCTTATATAAAAATAAATCGGTAGTTTGAACTAGAACTATAAATAATTGTGAGGATTTTTTTTTTGTGTCAAAATATATAATATCCTTTATATATAATAATAATAAATTAACCAAATTTAAAATTACAAATATAATAATAAATTTGTACATTTAGAATTTAAGACTCTAAAAAATAAATAAAAATATATTTAATAAATAAAAAAGTTATGGAAAAAATAAATATTTCAACTTCCACCATTGAACAATGAAATCTATATGAGTCGAAATAAAAGCGGCGGGGGAAGATTGTCAAGAATTTCGAACTTATAATATAACTAGCCGAATGACCCGGGCAACGCCCGTGTTTTACCCGATTGAATGTTTTGATTCAAATACTATTTGTTACAATTATAAATTGGCGCCTTAAATAAATGCATATGTTAGTTAATAACTATAGCCTATGTGCTTTATCTGTCTATGTACTGTTGGCTTCCGTAGGCGTCTCTTACTGGGAAAAAGAAAGAGAGGATTCCATTTAGTTATTAACTAATATATGCATTTATTTAAGGAGCGACCCGCTCCAACACAATAGTTACAAAAACCAAAAAGCGAGTGGGGGGGGGGACAAAGTCAAAAACAAAGTGTCTCACGTAGTAGCGGCGCCATCGTAGCCACGTGATCGTAGCCGACCAATAGGAGAGCGCCATTCCAAAAAAAAAGCAAACGGTGACAGAGATGACGCATGACGCTCGTAACTGTATTCTATATACAGTTACGAGCGTCATGCGTGGCCTCTGTCACCGTTTGCTTTTTTTTTTTTTTTTTGGAATGACGCCCTCCTATTGGTCGGCTACGATCACGCCACCTGTGTTGGAGCGGGTCGCTCCTTAAATAAATGCATATATTAGTTAATAACCAAATGGAATCCTCTCTTTCTTTTTCCCAGTAAGAGACGCCTACGGAAGCCAACAGTACATAGACAGATAAAGCACATAGGCTATAGTTATTAACTAACATATGCATTTATTTAAGGCGTCAATATATAATTGTAACAAATAGTATTTGAATCAAAACATTCAATCGGGTAAAACACGGGCGTTGCCCGGGTCATTCGGCTAGTTATATAATATGGAGCAACTGATTACCAAGTGTTTTATGTTTCATTAAATATATATATATATTTTACCTCTTCACTCAATATACGATGATCGTCCCCCAGCGCTTTTATTCTGACTCCTATAGATCAAAATGTTTAATGGTGATAGCTGAAATATTTATTTTATCCTTTTTTACTGCATTTTAATATCTTTAGAAAAAAACTTTTAAACTAATTAATTATTTACTTTTATTTTTTTGTATTTTCAAGTAGATTTATACTCCTGGGCGTTTCTGCCCGAAACACATTCATGGTTGGCGGTTTTACTTGAAGAAAAGGATACAGAGATAGAGAAACTAACTCTGAAAAAAATAAAATTAATAGAGAGTTGATATACAATAATGGACTTAAAGAAGTTGTACCTTTCAGTATGTATATCGGGATTGAGACAATAACTCTGTGAAATATATTACAGTGACCTTTATTGGAGACACACGAGATAACCAAGTGTGAACAACCTCTGTCTCCTTCAAAAAGACAGACGACCGGCGATATCAAAGACTTTTCACTTCCTTAAGTTTTGTCCATGAGTGTAATTCCGATAGATGGCAGGAAGCCATCAGCAACATTCAGTTACACCATCAGAAGATGCCTTATTTTCTAATGTATAACACTCTCTGAGATCCTTTTATTCTTCTTCACTACCTTTAAACTATTTAAAAACTATTTTTTATTCGCGACAAAAAAGTTTAAATTTTGTTGTCTAAAATTACACAACAGAACGTACATTTTATATTTGAATGGTGGCGGTGACTTGTCCATGGAGCAGATCAGATCGGTCCATGCACCCTGATCACAATACCGGCCAACTGAGGTATCCGTATGGATGTCCTCTTCTGGATTGATGTCTGCCATATAGAGGGCTGCAAGGATGGCCGGGTAAATATGGTCTGGAGTGAGTTGGGTGTTGTAACAGTTATTGCAGTTCCTGTAGGATC